ATTTAATTCCCTTACTTAAAACAAATCCACTTAAAATGGCCCCTCTGTTGTAAGAGCCTATAAATCAGATTAAATATTCCTAGTCTAGTATCCTACAAAACAATAAAACAAAGATTGAGCAAGACATACAGAGTAAATCACTAGTGTTATCATTAGCATTGTCAATATTCAATTCATGAAATGTGGCCTTTTGTGACTTTATAGAAGAGAAAAAAATATACAAAATTCCTTTTCTCTTGTGGAATGGACTCAAGATTCTGAACAGATACAAGCTATTGTGTTGTTGACTGTAAACAGTATGCTTACTTGCACAGCATGGCAATTTAGAGTAAGGATTGATGTTCGAGTTTTTCTGAGCTATTTAAACTAGATAAACATGTATAAATGAAAAGTCAATTCAATCAGATTCATTTCCTTTGGGAGAATAAGTAAGCACCACCACCACCACCATCACCACAAACCTTTTTCTCACTGGAACCATACACAAAACTGGAAACAATGACATAACTTTTAGATATAATCCTATAACCTTTAGTTAATATTGATGTTGGCTTGCAGGTACTATATTTTAAATGGAACCATTTATTTCCTGATCTTTAAATAGACTACTGAATTTGAATGCTAGCTTAGATAAATGTAACACCTGTTGAAAACTGATGCGAAAACTGTTAACATCAGTTAAAAAAAAAAACTAACAAAAATCACCTACAGAAAACACTAATCAGGACGCTTAGGTGTAGGATATCCCAGCCCACCGAAATAAGATGCTGGAATCAACTTAACTAGAGTCACTTTGTAAGGACAGTACCTCACACTGGTCCTGGGGTGGATCATTATTCTGAAGATTAGAAGATTATTATTCTGAATTGTATGTACTTAGTGCAAATTCTGGATAATGGTCCTAGGATATCCCTTGGAATCATCATTTGCTTAATTCTCCTAAAAGACGTGACTATTAGAGGCTAGTTAGCTGGTGCCGTATTCTAATAGAAGGACAGCATAGTATATTCCTCTCAACAGTAAATTCTCAGGACTCTGTCTACATTCACCCCGCATGTATGTATGTGGCCAAGTTATTTTTAAAAATCAGGGAACTCTGGACCAAAACCTCCTAAATAAGATGGGTCTTTCTACAAATGAATAGCTTAATAAGTGCGGGGGAGGGGGGGAGTGTTGAGAATAGTTTTGAAATTTAATGCAGTAGCTGTCAATCTAAAATTCATTCAAAATTATCCTTCAGAGACCATATTAAAGAGAAGGGCCGACTCAAATATAAATGAGGTATGAAAGAAACAGGAAAGTGTGCAATGTAAAGTAGTTTAAATATTAAGGCATGTTATATGTAAAACATGAAATGTTTGAAAGTCTAAAATTCTGCACTTTGACCCATGATCCAAATGTTCTCTAAATCCTGAGCTTCTTTGTTTAATGTATCTAATAATAATAGTAACTAGCATTTATTCAGTACACACTAATGTGACAGGGATGAGGCTGGGCCCGTTATGTAAACATAATCTCATTTAATCCTCATAACACTTCTGCAAAGTAACTATTGTCTGGATTGAACAGAAAGAGAATAATGAGGTTCAAACTGTAATGACAAGTCAAAAGAAGCAGCAAAGTGGGGATTCATTCACAAAGGTCTGACTTCACAACCTGTGTATTTTCTATAGTCCCACTAGGCTCTCTACAAAGCTAGAGTCAATCCTCAGTCCCCTTTTCCTGGTTCCACGTCGGCACATTTGCATACTCGCTAACATGTATTTGTAAACCCCAAATCAGCGCTCATAGCGCATTCATGGTCATCCATGGACATGAGCGGAGCAGTGAAAGCTTCGAGTCACTGATGCACAGATGTACCCCTTCCCCACTGAGGTCAAGTGAGGCCCCACCCGCCCTCGTGGTTCTGCTCTAGTGATGTAAACAAGCGACCTCCTCTTTGTGGTTTATGCAGTGTCACGGTGTTCACACTTCCCTGGGATCTGTTGGTGACTCACTGCTGTAAACTCCCCCAGGCCGAGTGCTGCCCCCCAGGCCGAGCTGCCCCCCAGACTGAGCTACCCCCAGGCCAAGCTGCCCCCCAGGCCGAGCTACCCCCCAGGCCCAGAGCTGCCATGCTATCTAGTGTCCCCAAGAGCAAGGAGGCTGTGTGTGCCTCATGGAAGAAATGAGTGCATTAGAGGAACTGTTCAGGCGTGAGTTAGTGACAGGGCTGCTGGCTGTGAGGTCAATGTGAATGAATCAACAATATCTATTTAAAAAGGTTTTAAAACATAAAACTACATAAACAAGGTTATGTGCTGATCACCTGATGAAAATGTCGCGATCACAGGCGCACAGGTACCTAACCCTGGTTTGTCCTTAGGAGCAACGGTTCAGCATTTGCTAACTCAGGGTCCGCAGCCACTTTACAGAAGAGAACTATGGCGAATCATGAAAAAGTCAATCAAGAACTTTCCCCCCCAAAAAACGTTTGCATTGACATTTCAGTAAAAGAGTCTCTTGTCATTTCCCTCAAAGACCATTATTATATTTTGCGCTGATTGGCTTAAGAAAAAGAAACCCTTTGTTGTTCCGTTCGATGCGTCACAGCTACATGTGTTTGACTTTGCTCAGAAAACGAATGTCTTAAAAGTACTCTGGCTTTCCAATGTGAAAGTCTTAAGGAGTTAAGTTTCATTTCTTATTACTAGATATCACAGGTACGATTTAAAGATGACTGGAGAGATTATGATTTTTCAAACTGGATTGTCGGAAATAATATGGACAGTATGAACAGCAGCAACCAAAAACTCAGCATAGGAATTTAAAAATATCAGCACAAATTGGAACTCTTACCTTTCTTGCCCAAGTCAGATATTTTATTGAAAAAAAAAATTACAGTACTTGAAAATCCAAACAAGGACAATTCAGGGTTGCATGAAAGAAAACCTGAAAAAGCCCATTGTCTTCAGTAAAATTTTGAATACAAAAAACATAGACCAGGCAAAGCATTCATGGCCTAATGCACTAGTTCCATGATAAACACACATATATAGTATATCTCCATCAAGTGAAACTTAATCACCTTTTTACAATTTAGAGAAGGAAGGCAGCTTTTACTATGGTGAGGCCATGTATCATCAATACCATGAAGCTAGCCTATCAGTTGTAATAGCTTCTATAAAATACCACAGTGAGATTGCAATAAGCCTAGAAAATGGGCTACAAATCCCAGCTATGCTCAAGCAAGCAGTGAACCAAAAATAAAAATAGGTAAAACTGAACCAAGAACTAGATAGCATTCAAATAGATTCATGATTGGTAAGGCAAAGTTCATAGGCCAAGGTTTTAAAGTGACTTATTCAGATCCAAGACAGTCATTACACAAAATAAAAGCATTTATGTAATTCAGAAACACAAGAAAAAAACATGAATTTTTGCTGCAAAGGACATAGCACAAAAAAACTTACGTACAATTACCAAACACCACATTATTGTACCACTAAAATATCACTTTAAATATGCAAATGTAAAGAGACTCAAGTTGAACTGTATCATGTTTAATCTCTCCAGTTTAGACAAGCAATCTAAAAGACATCACACATTCCTGCTTGCTCCCTTTGCTGAAATCTTTCAGACTTGGGTAACTTTAGGTAAAGGAAATGTCAACTTTAAGTTACTTTTCCAATCATCATATGTAAGTTAGCCATTAAATGCTGAATTAACAATCCATATAATAATATAAAAATACATGTATTAAATCACAGTTTTCATCAATTATCAGAACTTACTAAAAATGTGAATCATTTTAATATACCCATTTTGAAGAACTCAAATGGCCTGAACGTAGTAGAGTGTCTAAATTATCCTATCAATAGAAATGTTACATTTCCCCTCTGCTCGGTGAAAATGAGCTCATGCAAGTATGTCTGACACTCACAGTGACATACATGCGCTGTCATTCTCAGGATGTGCAAGCAGCTCTCACTTTTAAACATGACAATATGATTCAGGCATACAGTTTTGTTGAAATATCAGCTTTCACATGATTTCAATAAGCTCTAAGCCAAAACGATCATTTTGATTGGTTCCAGGCATCAGACAAAGCACATAATAAAAAGGTAATAGTAAACGATCCTATTAGCACAGGCTAGTTATCCTTGTGGCTAGTTTAAAACTAGGATGATTTTTGCAGTACAATGAAAACTACAGTATAAAATACAATGAGTTGGCAATACAGAGCAGATTATCCAAGTCGAAAGCAGACTTAAACAAAATACAAGCTCTAGCAAAAATTATCAACCTTACCTACTACTCATCTTAGCCCTTGTTAAAAATACCCTGAGTAAAATGCAAATATTTTACTGCTGGTCCTATGTGATTTCTCTAAAAATGAACCGTAAGTGTTAATGCATTGCGTTCTTTTATTTACAACAGTCAGATAATGTAAAAATTAGTACTTAACCAGTCACAATATAAACATTAAGGAATACTAATGTGATATCTGGACGTTTTTTAATTTTCTTAGCTTTTGTTAGCAGTTTGGCAAAGCAAGTGATACATAAATGGTTTCAATGTAAAAAAAAATCATAAAAGAGAAAAATATATAAAATGTACAGTAGTTTCTACCCACCCTGGGCCAACCTAGTTCCCTAGAAAGCTTCCCCTACCAGGTTCATTTCTGACTAAAGGAAGAGTACCAGTCCTCCAGCAAAACCAGCCCCATCTTTTCATCAAAGAGGCTCTCACTTCAGTGATATTCCTCCAGGGGAAGAGGACAGGAGCCAGGTTCCCTCGAATGTCATTCCCCAGATGTTCAAAACGTAACTAATTTATTAGCATTAGAAGATTTGGTTTATAGGGGAATCTCACTGGTCCAGTTTGTAGCCTACAAAAAAATGGATTATTTTTAAGTATAACATTAGAATATAAATAAAGGATGAGGATGTGGCTTTTTATTCCACTGAAATGGATACATTTCCAAACATGACAAAAATTAAAGAAAAAAGCATGCCTACCATTGAAGTTGGGGTCCCTCCAGATTTTTTAATATTCTTGGAAGGCATCCCATGAAGGCGACTGAGTCTAGCTTGGAAGCCTGGAAAATCAAAGTACTCAGTTTAGGAGAGTCTATGATTATTGGAGCATAGAAAAAGATCCTCTCATTTACAGGGTTCAAAAAGTAAGTTGGAGGGGGGATACATCTTGAACAGTGGTAAGGAAAAGGCAAAACTCACACTTAGCACATCTGAAGCGATGCCAGGTAGGTTCTAATGTGGTCCACACATGACTACTGACTATTTAAGCATCAGGATATTTATCCAGAGCTTTTGTTTCCCTTTCTATCATTTCCACATTTTCACGATGGGCCTTGCAGAAAAAGCAAGTCCACCGTCCTAATAATCTGAAAGCATGTGTAGTTGCGGATTTAGTGGTCAACGTGTTTCTTACAGCATCTTGTGCTTAGATTCTTTCATTTCCATTTTCGCTTCCCCTCTGTCAGTAATTCCTAGACTGACTACAATTGCACCCACCAGCGAGGAAGCGCTACTGACCTCTTCTTCCAGGATGAGACATAAGGGGGAAAGAACCAGTTAAGATACTTTCAAAGACAGGATCGGGCACATTTTTGTCTAGCTCGGCGGGGTCTTCCTTTTCCCACCAGGGCACGATGCCACTGACGCCGCACGCCCCGCCGGACTCCTTTTCGTAAAACCAGTCGCTCTGCTCATCATCACCTGTGCAAAGACAGGAAATCCCCCCAAAGATTCAGCTTCTTCATCCAAATGAACAGGGGTGACAGGTTTAGGTTAAACAAATACAAGACAGCAGTTAAATTTGAGCTTTGGAGAGATGATTAATTTTTAATGTAAATATATAGTACTTGCATGGAATGTTTAGTGTAAGTATTTTGACATAACTTATTATTTATCTAAAATTTAAATTTAACTGGGGGATCCTGCAATCATAAATACAGTCTATAAAAAAAACAAAAAAAACTTTTATTTTACCCCACAGCTTCACTTGAGAAATGTTTTTGAATACTGTAACAAGAACTGCCATCAACAAAAACATATAAAATGTTATGTTTTAGAACCAAGGTAAAAATGTGAAAAATAATAATAAACTGGTTAATCCTTTGGCAAAAACTGTAGGGAAATCCATTTAAGTTACTACCTTTTCCACATTAAGGAAAAATAAGCCTTAATCTCCTGCGGGGAATTTAAAAGTATAAAACTGTTGAATTTGTTCTTTGCAGCTGATAATGGTATCTATTAGCTTAATTTCATGATTTGTATGGAGGGTAAAAGGGGAAACAATCATGAACAGATGTGACTAAATTAAATTAATCTGATTAAGTTCATTAAGAAATAGTTGTGAAAAAGTTGATTTTAAATGAAAAGTGACAATAACACAGAGTTTACAAAGAAACTATACTGGACTATAAGTGATTTTTTAAACAACACTATTCACAGTAAAATTCAGTTTGAATCAACAGTATTTTCTTATTTTTTAAAAAAGGACTAATAAAGAGATGTATAGAGAAACAAAAGAAGGCAGACAGCTTTTAAAAATAAGACACAGAGCATTTTGAATATGGTCTGAAATTCTTATTTAAGTTTTCTTCATGATTTTTAGAAAAACTGCTAGTTGGTTTCTAAAAGGGTCATCACAACTGCCACAAACTTTTTCCCTTTAGAAAAAGGTTTCTGATTTCCAAAATCTCTCATTACAAATATTTTTATATGCAAACTGAAAATAACCTTAAGCTTCAACTGGAAATGATTTTATGGGAAACAAATATGGGGGAGTGAAAAATTTAAAGCATTTGGAAAACTAGAGTCACCAAAGTATTTCAGTTGAGGATTTAATAAAAATTAGTTTTCAAAAAGCACAATTCAAAGCACATAAATATTAGTACTTTTACTGAGAGTGATATTGAAATTTCACAGATTAGGTATAAGAAAGGAAGTCCCTTGAAACTGACTACCCAAGATCTTAATTCTAATTAAGACAACATTACTCTAGTAAAATAAGGTTATTTTATTTTTGATGTGATACAAAAGCTTATTCTCACCAGGGAAATCAAATGGCTAAATCTTAAGAACTTGGGCTTTGAAGTCAGACATACCAATTAGAATTCTAGTGTTTTGTAACGTTGGGGAAGTTACTTCAACTCCATTAGCCTAAGTTTCATCATCTTAAAAAAAAAAAAATCTCGTAGGGTGGTTTTAAGAATTAAATAAGAACTTAAAGTAAATTAAATGTAAAAAAAAAAAAAAAAAAAAGCACCCAGCATTGGGAAATATAAGCTCACAAAATGCTAGCATATTATTCTCAGCCTCTCAATGCTTTTCAAAGATTGGTAGGCTTATCCAAATGTTATTTTAAGTTTCTTTTTTCATTTCATTTATTATCAAATTCAACATTTATAATATAACTTTTGATAGAGATATGTACTTCAATGACAATTTAGGTATATTATCAAACCAGTCAAACTCACTCTTAGCCCTGAGGTTCTACCACATTTCAGCAAATTCTCTTTACTTTAAAAAGTCTATGGCCTTTAAAATAGTTATGTACCTATTTAATAGTTATGTACCTACTTATAAATAGTTTATAAGTAAACAAAAAAAATCATTTAATTTACTTTACTGGTATTGCCAAGAGGATGAATAGTCTAACAAAAACAAAAAAAAGCGTGGGGCAGCTATTATGTTGTCCTTTTTTTCATAACATCTTTATTAATAATTTTAAACAATAAATTATGTTTTTCCCTTAGAGCTTATTGCTCTCCTCTAAAGATCGTTGAGAAATGAACATAAAATTTATGATTAAGTATTTGCATGTATGCCTCCTATCCACTTCTTAAGGTTTTCATATTTCCTTACAGGACAGGTAGTTTCATAATAATTCCAAATAATTCAAAGACGGAAAGGATCTAAGTTGTAAAAACATTATTGTTTAATGGTTTACATACAATATTGAATTCATGAAAATCGTCTAATTACTTACAAACTGGATAGGATGAGTAAATGTCACAGCTGAATAAAAATGACAAATGACTTGCAAATCCAACTCTATAAATGCTTAAACAGAATTAAAGACATTTGGGATCAGGTGGAGAATGAGAACCAGTCTTGTGAGCTTGCTAAAAGAGACAAAATTGAAAAGACTGAGGTATGTAAAGCGTTCTCAAGGAAGATAATCCTTCCTTAATATTCTTAGCTCCACATACTAGCTCTTGGAGATGATCAGTTCCTTTAGGTTGTGAAATACGGGATCTGTTCGTAGCACGTAAGAGAATTAATTAAACTGCAGCCCACTAAGCCGTGTGTGTTAGGTAAATGGATTGCAGTCATCAGCTCGTGGGACAACTAGTATATAAGCACAACTTTAAAATGAAGACGGTTTTCCAAACAGAGGAAAAATATGACGTTGCAGTACCTTGTCTTCCCTCATCATTGGTAAACAAGCCAGCATCGGTGCTGCTAAGACTGCTGGAATCACTGTGATAAGGGGAAAGAACAAACAAACAAAAAAAAACAGATCAAAAGAACAATTGATCTCTCAGTTGTAAAATTTTAAAGAGACAAGACAGCTCAGAGATGGAACTTAAGCCTGACAAAGATCTGAAAGAAAAGAAGATGACTTTTTTTTAATCACACTGCAAATATCCCGGTTCCATTAACTACAGAGCATATTATTTTTGGCACATAAAACCACAGGAATCTAATGGGACCCTGACAGTAAGCCAGATGTGACTGCAACGAGGTGCTGACACAATTGATGCATTTTATTATCTGCTTTCATCCAATGCTCAGTGCTCCTTTCTTATGCCCTGCAATTCAGCTGGAGCTGGGAACACCGCTGCTCAATAAAATGGGAAAAGTCTCAATCACAGGCAGCCTAAGCCTTTCTTCAGCACGAAGTACAAGGGCCGGGTATGAAATTACTTTTTCATAAACACGTTTGCCGATATTCTGGAAAAAGATATTACTTAGGAATTTACAACAACTCTGTGACTTGGCAAGGAAGAAATAAGTTGACAATGGTAACAATCCAAATTAAATCCAAGTAAATGTCCCTCTGGGCAAAAAAAAGAGTATCACCAACATGAAGGAGGGAATATGCAAAAATAATAGTTTCTCATGACTTCCATAGAAGTTTGAGAGTCTGACACAGTCAAAATTGACATAGGAATGAAAACAAATAGATACTCGATGGACATGAATAAATTGTCAATATTAGTTCTAACAGAAGCAATGCTTATGTGATAATATAGTTATTAATAGTTAAAAAAAACACAAGAACAAGGCCATATGATAAAAGGTTTAGTCTCTAAAAAAAAATGAATGATGCTCTTTAAAACTTCTCATGTATTCTCTTTTTACTGTAATTCTTAATTTTACCTATCAGAAAATTGTCTTAGGTGATTTTTTTTTAATACTTAACATGCAGAACTCGGTAACCTAATTTTTTTTAAAAAGCCTCCTAATCTGTTTAACAGTATTTAAATTAAGAATTTAGGATTAAAATTATACATGGGATCTAAAACCGTATACATTTTCTGAATATAAAAATATCTGGTTTTGATTTTTAAAAAATAAATATAAACAAAGTACAAGAATTTAAGTGACACCTTGTCCTAAGGGACTCTAAATTAGTACCTTTCCCTTTAACTTTCTTCAAATTAAGAGAATGTATGAAGCTTCCTACACTGCACAATGTTAATAAAAGAAAATGACATTTTCTAAGAGCAGATTTTCTTATTTACAAATATATACGCTTGTCCATGTATAGAGATATTAGAGTATTGAGAACACTTTTGGAAACTTTATCTTTTTGCTATTTAGCTGTCCAAACTAGTATTGTTATTGCTTTTTTGTTTTTGTTTTTTCTTTCTCTTCTGGACTACGTAGTGTTTTGCTGTCTGCCCTCATCAACACAACTCTAATAAAGGGTCTTACCATACCTACCGCATGTCACAATTCTCTTTTTAAAACCCTTGAAGCAAAATATAAATATAGTAAAAATATAACATTCAGAATTCCTCAATTTTAGAAAGATATGTTCAAAAATGCCTAAGAGGAGTCTGGGGTAGCACTCCATAATACAACACATTAATATACAGAAGGTGCCAAAAAAAATGTATATACATTTTAAGATAGGAAAAAAACTATATTAAAATTATGCTGATAGTAACCACTTTGAGCACCTCTTTCAATTGCAGAAGTCAAACGTGACTTGTATTTATCTTTTGTTATCGATATATATTATTACAATGTTAATACAGTTTTTTCCTTTCTTAAAATGTGTATACTTTTTTTGGCACCTTCTGTATTTTTTCAATTAAATGAATGAATATTCACATTAAATACAGGTCCAGTTAGGTCTGGCAACAAATAAATTAATTTCCACAGCTTTCAGAATTCAGATTTGCAGATTAATGATTGTGAACCTATCTATCTATCTATCTATCGATCGATCGTACAATGGTCCTCTAATCTCTTAATTCAGATTTACCTTCTCTAATATATTTTATATACAACCAGGTTCATCTTTCCAAAATATAACTTGTTGACTAAAAACATGATATCCTTGGATGGGATCCTAGAACAGAAAAAGAACATTAAATAAAAACAAAAGAACTTGTGATCAAGTATTGACTTTTGTTAATATTGTGTCAACATTGGCTCATTAATTCTGACAAATGAACCATAGTAACGCAGGATATTAACAGCAGGGGACGCTGGCTGTGTGATGCACGGGAGCAGGATATGTTGTAGAACTCGGCACCGTCTCGGCCACTTTTCCATGACTCTAAATAGTTTCCTATTAAAAATCTAAAATGATTTTGCCACACTTGTTGGATTAAATTTAGATTTCAAGGCTCTCTGTGGGTTAGAGCCTAAATTAAATTCTTCCCCCATCTCTGGTCCTGTTTTTGTAATGTTTTCTCCTCCTTTCTCATCTCTCTCTGTCTGCTCACTCTTCTGAAAGATATAAGGAAATCAGAGGTCCTTCTCTAAGACCAACTCTTCGTCCTTTACCATGCTGTCCTACTTTCAGACATTTTTACATGTGTTTTAAATAACGTTTCCTATTGACATTTCACCTTGTTGACATCTAGCTAGATGCTCCAAGCATATCATGTATAATAGTTGTGAAGGTGTTCCGTAGGTCAGAACGAGAACTTAAATACAAGCAAGACTTTTCATTTTGAGCATCTGATAGCCTTTAGGGCTTACGTGCAAGGACACACCTTCCCACTTTTTTTTAGTATGACTTTTATAGCACAGTATTTGGAGGAGATAGTCCATGAATGCTAATTGAATTAATGTATGTACACAGTTCCCAAAGTCCTGCCCCAATCTGTTCATTTCCTCTATATTTTGTTCCTCAAACCTGGGCATCATCTGAGAGTCCTCCTTTTCATTCATCCTCCCAAATACAGTCAGTAAATCTCCCATTGACTCCAGCTCTTAAAACTGCTCTCCTATATATATATTTTTTCTATTATCACTGCCACAATTCACCCACCACAGACCAGTGAAAGGTGAACAGAATACCTCTGTCAGGATCCCGTTGGTCATCTTAATAGCATGTACATCTAATTGATAACATGTAAATCTAACTTAGTTTCTTCACTCACTTCCCACTCCTTAGATGATGAAATGCAAACTATTTACAATCCCTTTAAGACTTGCTTATTTACTGTGATAGCCTCAACCCTCACTTTCTGCTCTCGTAATAATGAGGTACATACGCGTTCCCCAATACACTACGCATGCTTCACAATCCATGCCTCTGCACGCGCTGCTCCCTCCACCTAGCAACGCCACCTCCCTCTGTCCTTGTCACTCCTCTAATAGCCAAATGGGCTTCGTGCTGCTTAAAATCACCACTCCTTCAGTAAAGTTTCCCTCCCCAGTACCTTCCACTCAGCACATTTCATTTTCAGTTTTGGCTTGTCTGCTAGTCCAGATTATGAGGCTGCAGAGAACAGGGCCTGCGTGATTATTCGTCTGGGTACCCGGAGTGAATAGTAAACAGCAGTTACTCGAGGTCTGTTCAATCACGCACAGAGTCAGGTAGTTCCATTCTTATTTATAAATCAGTTTCAAGGGAATATGTAGCTTTTCATGCAGGAAAGCTTTGGAAGTAGACTCAGAAAACTTATACATGTTGGGAAAATACCTCAGGTATGTAACAATCTTCCCACAGAAGGAATATGCACCTAACTCTCAAGTGACAAGAAAACCCAGTTACAGAGCTAAGTTTAAAAGAAGAGGGGAAAAAACTCGTTTTAAATTTATTCAAGAGTAAAAACATCCTCTTTGAAATTTTGTACCTGGGCTGTTGAACGCTAGGTAGCCTAATCATATCTTTCTTAGGTATTCAAATACATTTTACAAGGAAAAGAAATGAAGAGCGTTTCATCTCATTTCTCTGCCAGGGCAGATGGCTGTCCATAAAAGGCAGACGTCAAGGAGGGGAGGGGTTTGCACAATTAATCCAGAAGCAGGTAGTCTGTGACTAATCCAGAACTGACTGTGGATTTATCTCCACAGCTCCCCTCCCTCCCAAGCAAGTGAGCAATAATTAAGCTGATCGGCCCAATACTACCATACAAATTATTCCCATTGTGGTATAAAAATGACAACTGTCTTGGAAGAAAAGTAGATACCATAAACTTTTCAAAGCCATCCTGAAACACTTTTTAAAGTAAGTTTTACTGCTTTAGAAAAAATTGCATAAATAGCCAGTTATCTCTAATAAAAGGTCCATTCTATGAAATTTTACCAGATCCTACTCATATCTGTAATCATATGATCATATTTACACACAAAAGAATCATATAATCATATTAATCCATAGTTCACAACCACCATGATTAAGATGCCAATCCTACAAATTAAAAATCAAATACTCCTTCCCAGACCATTTTAAGTGTTTTTTCCCACATCATAGTTCTGCATTTGATTTTAAAGACACACCTAAAATGATGAACAGTGTCAGCATTTTCTCATCTCCTGCAAGTGGCCTTAGTTCTGTATAAAACGAACATGGTCACTTACCTTTTGATGCTGGTAAAATAGTACTTATCACTGTGGTGTACCTGCTTTCCAGGTAGGGATAGGTTAGACTAACTGCCAAAATCATTTGTCTAGTGACAAGATCAGGTGTTTCTAGACTGTAAACTGGGTTTCACAATTCATAAAGGATTGGAATTCCTAGCAAAGTACAGACTAAAAATATCAAGCCACACACGTTAAAGTGGTGTCAACTTTTGATTCTCAGTAATCAGAATATACTGATAAATTGTGAAACTAAAAAAAGCCAAAGACTAAAACTCTATAATTAAACAAACAAATAATTATAAGTCCAATTCTAAGAGTTACAGATGTGCTGTTATTCAAATGCACATCCTTCCCCATTGAAACGCTATTTCCTTTTCTCTTTGTAGCTGAAAATTAAGTCATTATAACACAATCAAAAGACTTTGTGTAAATCAAGTAAGCAATTTTCCTTTGAGCTAAACATCATAAATTATAAGAAAATATAACCATGGTTAAACAGTAATATCGCCGCCCTTATTAGAATCTAGAATTATTTTAAAATAGAATGAAAATGCACAACACATTCAACCACAAACACTGTAGACACATATCTTTATACTGAGGAAAGAGAAAAGTCACCTTTCGCTCATGAGCTCATCGGAGATTTTTTGCTCTTCATACTCCATTTTGTCCTTATTGGTCTGGCTTATTTCCTCACTTTCTAAAACTACTCCTTCATCTTGGATTTTGGGTCCTTGTCTAATGATTTTCAATTTCCTTTTCTTGACTTTGCTCTTGGTGAACTCCTGATAGTGGTAAACTCGATCACTGTCCATGTCCTGGTCTCTACAACCTTCAGGGGGCTGGGTCATCGTCCGTTTGCTGGAGATGTCCTGCGGAAGGTCGACCGCCATGCGTTTCACCTTCCTCCTCCTGCGCAGAGTCCGGTTCCCGAGGCTGTCCATGGCAAAATCGGACTCATGCCACAGAGGGCGTTTCCCACGCACGTTGTTATTTAAGTTAGACGTCGGCCTGCGCTTGGCCACGAGCATTTGGTCATCAGAGTCACTGTGATCCTTTTTGTTATTATTGTGGTTCTCTCTATAGTCCTTGCTCGGTTCTTCTAAACTCGAATCAGAGCCCTCACTTAAGCAGTGACCGGTCTCCCATGGGTGGTGAACATTGTATGACCTCCGCTTTCTTCCTCTCCTTTTCCTTGCCTGGCGTTTCAGAGGGCAAGATATGCTTCGAGAATGGTCTCCCGTTTCAGCAAATCCACCTCGAGCTTGCTCTGAGCTCTCCTCCAACGCTGAGACAAGATCATGAACCAGTTCCTCCATGGTTCGACTGAAATGCCTACATTTTTAAAGAAAGAAAAAAAATTACAGAAACTAGGCAGTATTTAACTGTATTAACCCAGCTTATTACTGCAGACAATTCACACTAAATCTGGCTAAAATTAAGAGTTATTACAAAGAAATGTCAAAAAGCTATTTTAATTTTCCTATCTAAGATACCAGTTTTAAATATTCTGACTCACTTTAAGCTCTTTTCTTGTATAAGTTCTTTTATTAAACATACAAATTACTTCAAGATACCGTGAGCATAATATTAGCAATGAAAGGTCTCAGTAATTTTATATTTTGACTGTGTAATTATGGGAAAGTTATTTCCGCTTAAAAACTGTTCTGCAGTCTACTCCTGTATGTTTCCTAGATCAGATAAAGAGAGAACTTCTCAACCCTCCCCCCACCCCTTTTCTAAGGAGGAAGCTCCCAGTCCTCTCTCTACTCACCAGATGACCTACCAGTCACGGCCATTATATGCCCGGGAGACGGGCAGACTGACAGGCACTTTCCAGATTTGTAAAGGTCATAAACAATCATTTCTCAAACTGAGTTCTAGCAGCACTTAGGGCTCAAAATATTCTAATTATAGAGGACTATATGCTTCTAGGGTCTGGAGCAGGGGTAGGCACACTTTTCTGTAAAGGGCCAAATAGTAAACAGTTTAGGCTCTGTCATGACTACTCAACTTTCACCATCCTAAGGTGAAAACGCTCATAAGCAATACATAAATGAATAGGTAAGGCTGTGTCCTAATTAGATTTATAAAGCCAAGCGATGGGGGGCATAGTTTGCTGACCCCTGCTTTCCATATTTCTATAGCCTATATTTACAGATGTTTTCTTCTAAGTTCCCTATAACTTTTAACTCTGTCTTTTCATTTTAATGATTTCCTGAAAACATACATACATTGTGACTTAACTGGCTTTACCACTTATCAGAGGATGCACATGTTAACAGCTTCTATACCTTGAGAACTTACTATGTGCCAGGCCCAGGATTCTAAGTGTTCCATATGCCTTACCTCATTTCATTCTCATATAAAGCTAGGAGGTGGTAGAGGAAATACACAGAGAGTAAGGGCAGCCTGCCCAGTGTGGCACTTGGAGGAAGTGGTAGAAACAGGATTTGAACTCACGCGCTCTGGTTCCAGAGCCTGAATGTCCCTATCTATAGCCAAAATCAGCTACACGATTCCAGTATCCAGTCTCTATTTTGTTTATGATTGATTTAACAGCAGGTGGTACAATTCTGACTACACTGATTTCTCCATTACCTATTACGTTAATAACTGCCTTTCTCTTGCCCCTTTATTGCATTCAATATTTTGTTCTTTTCCTTTAATGCTGTTTCTCTGGAGATATGTAGTCTGAAAGAACTGTTATCTTTAAATATAATATTGCACCTTGAAAAAATTTACTGGAAGCCAGTTTAACAGGTGTTGCAATAAAGATTCTTTGTCATCAAGAAGACTCAATATCACCTGGTTCTAGAATAACTTGCTTTTTGAAGATACAGTTTTCTTATTAATGGGTGAATTACTAGTTCTAAATATTAATTTAATTAACCCAATGCATGAATATATTCTCCAACTAAAATTGCAGGTTATTTTGGAAGTTACAATTTAGTGCCTTCGCTTCAAAGACACAATTTGGTCCTCATATTAGAAAAAGTTAGCAAATCAGATTCAATCCATTAAAATCTGATACTCTTCATTTAGTTTCATTAAAAAAAATATTGCTAAAAATATAAAAAAATATTGCTGTAACTACTACCGTTTAACAAAGTATAATCAATAACACTAAGAATGAAAGCAAAATTTCTTTATAACATTAAAATTGTCAGCCTTATTCAGTTTTATATTGTTTTTCAAGACAAAACATATTTTAAAAAAATATTTCAACTAGAAGAATCCTATTATACAGTGTCACTCAAACACGAATTAACTAAAAAATTACTTTAAAAAAGTTTTTAAAACCCTATAAAAATACAGAAAAAAAATACACTTAAGAAAAGTGCCATTCAGAATTCAAATCACTTTTCCCCCTTCAGTTTCAACTAATCAGACTCCCGCAAATCAATTCCAGCCAAAACCTGTTAGTGAGCCAATAACATAATATTACTGTCAGTCAAGCTGCTTCACTTACATGGTTCAGGCAAATCTGGTATCACAGGCTTCACAGAAACAGTCATTACAGGAGACCACCACATGATCAACAGTTCATTTGTCTCCTTTGCTTTCAGTTATATTGAAGACACCACTCTACTGCAACACTTCATCCTAAAGATATTTTCTTAAATAAGGCCTTTGCCATTAGAGGAATTATATAACTGTTCTGTACAAAAATCTGTTTATTAAACCACCTCCATGGTTTTAAAGTCTGTAAATTATAAAATTCAGCGAATTACCACTTCGCAGATTGATAAAACAATTTCTCTTCATTTGGAAATGAAATCTTTTGGAAACAGTTTGTATTGGGTATAATGTCTAAGATAGTACAAATATATAGAATAAAGTTATAGTCTCACTAGCCATCTAAAGCTGGATTTGTAAAGGGAAACGATTTGAGTAGATAAGTATTTTGAGTCTTTTGGTGGTATTGGATTATGCTGAATAAGATAAGATGTATGCTCAATCCCAAATTTCATGTATCAGTTTTAGGTAAAAATTTTTGGCCAAAGGTCAAGTTCGTTTCTCCCCCTGTAGGCAATATTAAACATCTAGTGAAATGAGAGACTTGCTCTCTTCTTGGCTTCCTTTAATACTTAGGTTTTCCTAAAAAATGTATGTTTGAGAGTGAGGAAGATCAATACACGCAGAAAATCTGGCACAAAGTTCAGGGTTTTCTTTCAAATATCTCTGATTCAAGGAAGAATCAGGAAGCTGCCTTAGTGCCAACTTACAGCGCGTATGTCGCACGGGACTGGCAGTTGACTGTGGAACGAGGAGCTCCCAAAGTCAACGATACATAGGCAGGCACAGCTGCAGCTGAATCCCAAGAGAGCCCAGAAAACAGACCCTCCTCCCATCCCCCGTAACCAACAGCCAACCATTTGGGTGGTGACTGCTACTTCCTGAAGTCTCTATTAGCAAGAACTACTATTCCTAAGAGGGAAAAATACAGCATGTATAGAAAAATTAGGCAATAATTTCCTTGCCTGGATACAGATAAAAAATAGCTACATAAGAAGAGAATAGACGTGTGTCTACTGCATAAACCCAACAAGTTCATTAAAAAACAAGTCTTCCAGATATAGCTAAATGGTAATGGACTACAGCTATCAAATATCTAGTTAGGGAAAAAAAGGCCAAATACTCTTTATCACCTAGTAAATGGTAAAATTCTCATCTTCATCTCTGTAAAACAGATTATTTATTCTACAAAGTTAAGTAACTTTAGGAGTGGAGTGCTCAAAGCAGGTTACCTGTTGCTAAATACAACTGCTCAACTGGCTTTCAAAAATTTAAGGGAAGAAATGACCATTTATGCATTACTTTATGAATAAAAATTCAATGTGTACAAAAACAGTACACTAACATAGTACATAGTCAAGAACTATGCAGATGAATGTATGACCGCTCACAAACTTAAGCAGAAAATTGTCTTGGAATTACGTGCCTCGGTACTCACAGTAACTTTTATTTAAGACAGGAAAGGTTGGTTGGTTCTAAAAGGATACAGGAAACAGCCAAACAGTATATTAAAATTAATGAATAGTGTAGACCATGGCAATGACTGACTGACTAAACGTGCAAATGGTGAGCCTTAAGGATGACACATCAAGGACTAAATTTTGTGACTAATTTAACAAAATGTGATCCGTTAGAATTATATTAAGATTTCTGCTACTCATAGGAATGTATAAGTTTGGTAATATTATTTGTCAAAATAAGTCTTTATTTTAGTCTAATAACTTATTAATAGACTGTGTCTTCATTTCTCCTCTTATATATTTGGGGGGAGGTCATCTTAGGAATTTAAGAATAACCCTAACATTGAATGTCAACACTTGAGCTAGTTTAGAAACTCTGTGACCTATTTAAACCATTAATCAGAAGTAACCTTTTCTCTCCTTTTTGAGAAAGGTAGCGTGGGCTTGGGGGAACCTGTTATTCTGAAACATGTAATGATTAATTATAACTTTACACTAACACTGGGCAATAAATATAGAATATAAAAGTTCTCTAGGGAAAAAAAAAGGCTTGGAGGAAACTGTACAGAACATGAGCGTTAAGAGTCAAACCTATGTATTTGGATGCTATATTCTATGATATTTACTAGCCACAGGGCCTTGAACAAATTACTCATCTTCTGATTGGTTATGCATCATAAAAACTGGTATCATTTCTACCTTGAAGGGGGTTCTAGGAGGATGAGAGTGGGTCTTTAATGTGTGAGAGCAGTTTTTACAACTTGCAACAGAGGCGGTAGATAGAGGTTATCTACAAGTAAGAGAAACTGGTCACTGAAATATCAAATCAGTCTGCTTTTATAATATAGTATAACCATATTATAAATACTGAGGGCTTCATAATAAAATCAAAGGCACTTAACTTCTCTGGGGTTTTGAACCATTCTGAATGTTGGGAAGAGTGGAGACAATAGACATTTGCAAAACTCCTGCATGCAATTTCAAGAAATTTAGGAATTCCTTAAAAGCTCTCTTAAAGATCTTAAAAATAAATAAATAAAAGATAAAAAATCCCAAGTTAAGAAAAAAAATTAATGTTGTGTATCTGACCTACTCTTAATAATATATGGAGATATAAGAAAAAGTATTAAAGAAAATCATCCTACCATGTTAAATAGTCACACAGTTCTTCACCACGCCAAAAAAAACTCATTTCCCACAAAGGAAGCACTCAATTGGAGGTGCTACTGGCAGTTGCTAGTTTGTCACTTTTGTCACCACAGGAACATTCTGAAAGCTTGTTTTCCTCCTTACCCTAGCAACTTGGTGATAAACAAACCAAAAGTGGCTTTAAAGGAAAAAAGTCTAACTCTACTTTCCAAATAGTGCTCTAAGGAGGAAACAGACTCACTTGTTTTGTAAATTTGAAGAACATACTTTTGATTTTTGTTACTTCATTTAATGACTTCAAGAGTCATTCACAACTTCTTTCCTTATACGCTAATGGCTTTCAAAATATAAACTATTGACTAAAAAACTGCCTAAGTGAAATAATATCAAAGTCTAAAACAAACCAACAAAAAATAGAATCTAATTCATTCCAATCCCTGTCAACATGCATATATGTATCTATATCTCTATCTGCATCTGCTCAAGCTTCTAGTATATAAGAAATGAGTCTCATTCAGTGCTTATAAATGCTAACTCCTCAATATGTATTAAATATCTAATTTATTCTGAATAGAACAGCCATGAGAATGAAGACAACTGAATATTAATTAAAAGTACCTAGCATGATGCTTGACACATCACAGATTTAAAAAATCTGTTGGATAAACAAACTCATGAATGACTAAATAAAGGAACAAATAACAAAAGAAAAATATGGCGACTAAAAATTGAGACAATCCAGTATTCAAAATTTGTGTTACATTAACAAGTTAGATACCCTAAGTTTTTAGTTAAGTAAATGTGCCGTTAAGGGCATATTATCAAGGATGGTTTAAAGGTCTCCAGCCTGCCGTAAATAAGGATGCCAAGAAGTTATACCAAGATTAATGAGTTATTTGCCCAAAATCATGCTGGTCATTGCTTTGGTTCCTAATTGTTGAAACAAAAACTTGACTCAAACAAACATGACAGTATGAAATTGAGTTCAAGACAACAACAACAAAAAGCAGTTATTAAAAAAAATGCAGTTTCATTATGCAGTTTTTCCTTAAAAAAAAACAAAAAAAACAAAACCCAAAATACCAAATAGGAATGAAACTATAGAAACAAAGGTCCAGAATCAACAGTTTATTTTTAATGTTCTTTTAAAAGCAAAGCCACATAAAGTTAAATAAATAGACATTATAGTTCAGTATGTCAGTAATGAGCCAGTATTTTCATTATCAAGGGCTTAATTTTCTAAATTTGTTTAGTTCTACCTTTAAATAACCCCAGAAGTTGACATTACATATAAATTATTAATGTAAAAAGTAATAAAGAATAGTGTATCTAAATTCTGAATTTGATTTGTCTACCAAATGAAATCAAATTTTGAAAGGTTAACATTAGATGTACCAAGATAGATATATTTTGATCCCTAATTTCAAAAATGTATGTGAGTGATGAGGCAAGAAGTGATAGATGCTCTCAGTTACTATATTTTTTTAGAAAAACATAATATGAATCACAAGATTAACTTAAACAAAAAATATATTCATTTCCTAACACATACAAAAAAAAAATCACAGGGTCTTTATTTAATTGTACAATTTTTTCTTCCTTAGGCTTCTTAACTATAAAATATCAGTCATACTATTCAACAAATTGTTAAAACATCTACATTTACCCATCTGGTGCCTAAAAATTGAAAAACGAATCACGACACTGTTGAAAAAGTTGTAGTCAAGATGGGAGTTACATACATCAGGAATTCCAAGTTGGTTAACAATTCCAGGCATGTGCTTTCCAGTTTATATACTGAGATTACGGTACAGTGGTCAGACATCAGAGGCAGTACACCAGGGCAGTAAGAATTTTTGTAAAATATTCTGGAATCATGCTGCAAATATGACACTTGATCAAGTTATTGAAACTAAATTTGCCCCTTTCACCATCTCTAAAATGCAAAAAAAAAAAAAAAAAAAAAAGGTAGAATCTACCTCAAAAGATTTAAATACAATGATATACATGTCTGTAAAGCGCAGCATACACTGGGCTGGAACATATATGCATAGTGTACATGTCTCATGAATGAATGAAAAAAAATCCCATTACGAAATTCTGAATGAGGATGGTTGCGCCCATAAACTAGAAACTAAAAGTTCCTGTTGTCCGGAACACATTCATTCTGCCAAATCAGGCATGCTTTTAAGAATTTTTTTTTTTTTCAAAAACACGGATTAAGTGCTAAGCGCTGTGTTATATGAGTCCTCTGGTGCCTTAAAAAAGGACGAGTTGTGTACTGCTAAATATAAACAGACAACTGAAGGTGGTAGCTCTCTGTGCAATAACGCGGTACCTAACCAGGATTTAGGTAAAAAGTGGGAAAGGAAGGAGTTGAAAGAATCACATTTTTGAATTAAATACCCACCTATCCTAAAAACCAGTATCCCCACAGCAAGAGCAGGCCAACCTACGGAGCACAGTTTGAAGCCCTCCCTTATCGAGATCTTGAATGGTGAAACCCTAAGACAGCTACCTGGGGTGACGGAAAGGCCTTAGACCTTGTTTGGTGTGTTGGTTACCTGGTATACACAATTGCCAAAACTAAGAAACTTAGAAATATGTTTTATTTTATACTAATTATATCACAATTTTTTTAAAAAAAGTGCTCTCTGCTTTTCTAAATGGAAAAGGTGAGAATTTCAAAGAAGCATAATCCAATCTATATTCATTATAAAATGAATGACAGGATGATCTGATCGCATTCACAACATGTAGAGAAGATAGTCTTTTAACTTTCCAGAAATTGGTGATGCAAAATAAACGGGGATCATAGGCTACTAAATTCCCCTTGTTCTCATTTGCTGCAGAATCTAGGGACGGAGACACCTTTTCCAGCCACATGTCACCTGTTGCACACTTTATGTTTGAGAATTAACTGTCAGTGGAAGAATCTGCGTGTTTCACTGCTTGTCTTGTGTGTGCTTGGAGGAACAGAGCTGGGGAGGAAAATAGGACAGGCATGAGAGTTTTCAACTAGCATCCATCACCCAGCTTCTGGCTTTTAGGACTCAAATGTGCGTGGCAATCATGGACAAGTCACTTCGGTATTCTGTGCCTGTGATCACCTGCTATCACAGGATGCTCATAAGGATACACTGAAAGCACTGAATACGTGAAAGCACTTTGAAAAGTCAAAGCAGCATATTATTCTAAAGTGGCACTGATGCTGTGACACCACAGCCATAGTGAAACCCCAAACTTAATCCTGGCATTTACAGGTTCTCAGGAAACACCCGTGCATACCTCATTTGAACTAGAATGAAAGGGACAGAAACAGGTAGGTTACTCCCACTCAAAAAAAAAAAAAAAGAGGGTGGCGAGTGAGGTCGCTTCCACTACCAAACTTCCAGAACTCAAGATTTCTGGGGTTTTGATCTTCCAAGACACTGGGTAGAATCTAGTCAATTTTAAAGAGAGAAGCGCGGGGACAAGGCCTGGATGCAGATACAATCCTTCCTGTCCCTAGTCTTGGTCAACAGTCCCGAAGCCATGAATTGCTCTTGGCAGCTCCCAGAAAGCTTTCCTCCTAAAGCCCCCTGCAGGGTGAAGGCGAGCGCCACCTGCAAGCACGGGCTTGTCTTCCTTCCCACAGCCTCTGCACACCCCTCACCGCCTTCCTCGCACTGCGTCCGTCCCGGGCACGAGGGGAGCGAGCAGGGCCTAAGCGTCTTCAGGTCGTGCGTCCCAGCGCCCTCCCGCCCCCCGGCCGTTCCAGGTGCGGCGGCCTCCGGCCCTCGCCCCGCGTCCTGCGCTCCCGTCCCCAGGGCCGCCAGCCTCACCAGCTGTTCCCGGCGGCTGGAGCTCCGATCGGTGGGCGCCCGGCGGCCCCGAACATTAACGACACCCAGGGGCCCGGCCTCGAGGCTCAGGCCCGAGAACAGCCTCCAACTACCAGGGTCCTAACGACTTCCAAGGGGCAGTTCAGCATTTTGAGCGGAGCTTCCGGAAGCAGACGGGAGGCGGAAACCGGATGCCCGGAGCAACCATTCGTTCTCTCCCCGCCGCAGCCCGCTGCTTTCCTCGCCTAGCGAGCCTCCTGTTTTTACTCCCAGAAAACACAGAGGCAAAGAAAGATAACAGCGTCCTGCTCAAAAATGTATTAATTCTTCTCTCTAATATCCCAGAAACTGGAACAAGGTGGAAAAGAAAGTGGAGGAAACGAACAGTGGAACCCTCCCCCCCCCAACTAGCGTGATGGTTTAGCTCGGTTGCCTTGGAGACCGAGAGTAACACCAGTGGGAAAGCAGGCTCTGAGACAGGCGATGGCCACGTTAGCCCGGCTGCAAGCTCGGTCCACGATGATAGGACAGCAGTACTACTTTAGGAACAGGTAGGTCATCACCTGGGAGGAGGGCACGCAAAGAGCTGGCTTGACGTTAGCCAGTCTTCTATGAACAAATTCAATAAGGACCTGCCCTCCCCCCCCCAACTTCCCCTCTTAATTTGTTGGCTGCAAATATAATCACAAGTTTAAAAGTTGCATTACCATACAGGGGAATTACAGATGCAGGGGGCCCATAGATATCAATTGGAGATGATTGAAGTAAAAGCCCAGCACAGATAAAATTGTAAAATGAAGTGTTTTTCTTTGACATTACCTCGCTGCGAGTTCATGAAACTTATGTCCTGGCTTATGGAAAGTTGAATAGCTCAATTGGGGTCACCTGGGCTCCCCTATCTGGGTGAGCTAGTGTGGCCCCCATCTACCTAGGAATTTGTGTCTCCATTATTTCACTGAACTTAACTGTTCTGTGACTCACTTGTGCCCCTAAAGTGACAGTGTGTAAACCATCTGGATAATGAGTATCAGTACATTAATTAATAGAAGAGGGCCAAGGAAGATACTAGCAACCTGTCCATCTCCCTCCACCCAGACTTCTCACTCAGGAAGAGGTTCATTTTCACAGTTGCCTCTGGAAGCCATGCCCCAGGGCTTTTTCCAACTTCAGAGAACTGCCAAAAAAGTGAATTAGACGATGCTAGAATATAGTGACCAATATGAATATGGCAGACCAAAGGAAAATAAGTCAATAAGACAAGATCGTGCTGAGCTGTTCTTATTCTAACATCTATCTCACCGACTACATTGTCATGGGGCCATGTACCTCTCTTACAGCACTTAATCACGATTCCATTTTACATTCTGTTGTGAGATAACATATATTGTCCCTCTTAAACCAGAAGTGGAGAGTGTCATGTTTTTGTTCATCATTGTTTCTGTCTCCTGTGTCTGTCATAGTTTCTGACACATAGTTGCTACACAGTAATTATATCTTTAATAGTTCCAGAAACGAATTTTTCAGTTGATCATTAGTCCTGGTTTAAGTAAACGTAACTGAAAATGGCAAAATATAGTAATTATCTATTATCTGTATATTATCTTAATGTAGATAAATGATCTATTTAGCAACCATTTAGAGGATGCAGCAGGTCCTGTGTTTGTTTATGTATATAAAAGAAATAAGCTACATCTCTCTTGATAGTCACAGCCTAATATGGAACATAGGCATTTAAGAAACCATTATTATAGATTAAGGATGAACAGGAAGGGAAACAACTAACATTTCTTGAGCACTGATTGTATGCTGGGCATGGACTACGAGCTTTTTCACATAGTATCTCATTTGGCTTTCACAATGGTGTAAGTTAAACTATGTATTGGGTTGCCGGAAAAGTCATGATGCATGTTTGCAACAGGTGGCACTAGTTCATTTTTGGAAGCACTAGAGTCATTCGCATCTATGTTACTGCTGTGTCATTTGACAGCTGACAGTTCTAGCTTCATTCTAAAAAAAAATTGAACAATTTGGTTGAGTTTTGGAGATTTTAAAACAAGTTGAAGGTGGAAGACCAAACTGTGTGTTTTTGCCATATTTTACTGTTTTACTTCCATAAAGGGAAGAACGTGCGTCAAGCTTGTGAAAAGTTGCATAAAGTTTACAGTGACAATGCTCTACAAGAATGTCAGTGCCAACGATGGTTCACGAAATTCTGTGCTGGTGATTTTCATTTCAACGACGCTCCTCGGTCAGGGAGGCCCATCGAGGTTGATGACGACAAAATAAAGGCAATGATCGAGTCAAACCCACGTTACACGACACGAGAGATTGCAGAAACGTTGAACATCTATCATTCAAGCGTTCACAACCACCTGAAGAAGCTGGGATACATAAGCAAGCTTGATATTTAGGTTCCGCATGAACTCAAAGAAGTTCATTTGATGGTACATATAAACATCTGCAATATTCTCATTAAATGTGAGGAAAATGATCCTTTTTTTGAAGTGACTGATAACTGGTGATGAGAAGTGGATTGTTTACAACAGTGTGGTATGCAAATGGTCTTGGTCCTGACGTGATGATTCGCCTCAAATGACATGGAAAGCAGACATTCATTAGAGAAAGGTTATGCTCTCAGTGTGGTGGGATTTTAAAGGTGTCATGTTTTTTGAGCTCCTACCAAGGAACCAAGCAATCAATTCAAATATGTACTGACGGCAGTTGTACAGTTTGAATGAATCCATCATCCAGAAACATCCAGAGCTTGTTAATTGTAAAGGAGTTGTGTTCTATCGCGACAATGCGAGACCACACACAAGTTTGATCACCCATCAAAAATTATTGGAGCTTGGATGGGATGTGTTGCCACACCCACCATACTCGCCTGACCTTGCGCCGTCAGACTTCCACTTGTTCTGCTCTCTTCAAAACTCCTTGCGTGGTATAACGTTCAATTCAGATGAGGCTGTAAATCAGCACCTTGTTCAGTTTTTCGCAAATAAAGACAGGTCCTTCTATGAACGAGGAATTATGAAGCTCACTGAAAGATGGCAAAAGGTTATCGAACAAAACGGGCAATATATCATTGATTGATTTTTGTTCTGTATATAAATGAATGACCTTTGAAAAACAGACAAAATACATCATGACTTTTCCAACAACCCAATATTAATAATCTGTATTTTTACAGATTGAGAACAGTGTTCTAGAGAAGCCTGGTGAACTGCCACATTGCAAATAGACATAATTTCTTCTACAGATTTCAGTGTCAACCTTTGTCCCCATCTCCTGGCTTTGGACAGTGGGTACATTTGCCCCAAACTGGAGACTGCTTGGAGAAAAGACAGGGTTATGCAAAGGCGACAATGAGAATAAGTCGGCATGCCCTCCATTTCATTTTTTATCATTATTATTAATAGTAGTAGTTTCTGTATGAAGGAAACTCTAAAGATTGAGAAGGAATCAAAATTACAAAGTTTGCCTAGTTGTTTTTTAAAAAAAGCAGGGTATTGATAGCTTTGAGGGCAAAAACTATATGAAATATTACCATAAACAGAAAAATTAAACAGGCAATTTACTTAAGAAATTATTGTCATTTCCCATCTGTTATTGATTAGATCAGGTCTTGGCAAACTTTAGTGTACATTAGAGTGACCTGAGGACCTTGTTAAAAGGCAGATTCTGATTCAGGGGGTCGAGGTTATGGCTAGAAGACTGCATTGCTCACAAGAGTTCCTGTGAGGCCCCATTTGGCATAAGAAGGGAGATGTAGAAAAGGAGCTGTGTGTGGGCCTATCGTTCAATTCTTGAACATGCTCCTAATATATATTTATTCCTTTTTCATATAATTCACAGAAAATGAGATTCAGATAGATTTGGGTAATTTGTGTATGGTCGGTCACACAACTACGAAGTCTCAAGGCCAATTAATCCAACTCCTAGGCCTATGCTTTTCATTGCCACACAGGGCAGGATTTTCTTCCCACTACACTGGTCTGATAAATGAAGTGGTAGCAAGCACGGAGACCCGGAAACCCAAAGGGCCTGGGCATAATGCTGTTCCAAGTCCACTAACATGCAGAGAGCAGAGTGCGAGGAAACAGTTTTAATCTCCTTGGTTTGCCTTGATGTTTTCCTTCTCTATTGGTAACAAGGCAGTGGCAGAAACGTTTCTACCGTACAGCTGGCACCAGAATACCTCTGAAATTGAAAGATGGCTTTGTCGGGGAAGTGTATAAATGCTCACGTCAGCACCTGAGTCCTCCAGGGCCTGGAAGTCCACACAGAAAGAGAAGAAGAGCCCCTGTGCCTCACGCAGAGGAAGAATGCGGAATTCCTAAGAAACACATATGTAATGAAAGAGCCAGGGAGCCTTGGGAGACTGGTTCATTGCCTGACCAACCCGAGTCCCCTGGAAAGTGCCAGCACAGGAAACGGGTGGGTGTTCATGTTTTGACCTGCCTACGGAAGAGGCGGAATATCGTGTCTAGGATGTTACAGGGTGGAACAAAAGAGTCCTCTGTTGTTATTTGACAAGTTATTGGCCTTAAAAAAATTAGTTCACTATTAGCTCCTAGTTTCATTTCTCTTCTTCTGAATCATTGAGATTCCCCTGTGCCTTATTGGTTATTTATACTATCCTATTTGTGAATAGAAGAGTTTGATATGTGTTCATTTATCATATTGTTCATTTCCCTCAGGTCTGTATTTCAATTGTGTCTAGCTAATCTGTCAATACTGATAGGAATGAGTTAAAATGCCCCTCTTCAGCTGAGTTTCTGTAGTGGTGTCTTTTGATGCTATGTTATTTGGCACCAATGTGTACTGGTGTGTACCTTCATGGGCTATATATTGTTTTGCTTTGTTCTTTTTTTAATGTGAAAAATGTTTCACCTTTAAATTCTACTTGTAATAGTAGAATCAATCATCCTTTATCCGATAGGAGTTAATCATATCATTCTATATATGTCTCTTTACAAGCAGCACATTTTCTAGTTAAAAAAAAAATCAAAACTAAAGAACTTTGTGATGATGAAAAAGATGGTAGGAGAGACGCAATTTTTTTTAATTGACTTAGCTGAAGGGGAAGATATATGTAGAGGAGTATTGAGAAAGCAGTTTCTCGGGAGAGGGATGGACGTTCTGCAGAGATGTTACAGAGACCAGGTGTCCAGCTGTTAAGTTTCCAGAACTCTCGCCATCTAATGGGGTATGGGGACAGAGAGAAGGAAGTAGAAAGAGAAATAAATGTCTGTGACTAGCTGCTGTGTGCTGAGAGAACTCGGTCAAATGCTTTCACAAACAATATTTTGAGATTCACAATCTTATGAGGTGATTTTAAGTTTTTCCTACTTTTATGGCTGAGGAAAATGAGATTTAGAAAGTGTACATTACTTGCCAAAGGTCTAGTGAAGTTTGATCCATCTCAGTCCAAAGCTTATGCTTGGGGTATAGGGACTTAAAATCATCAGGTCTCTGCATGGAAGTATAGTTGGTCCTTGAACAAGGTGGGGGTTAAGGGTGCCAAACCCCTGCACAGTCAAAAATTCAT